CAGGACTTGGCTCGAGTCATCAATAATTCAATGAAGAATATGACTTATGATGAATATCATGTCATCATTATCCTAGTGTTTAATTACATATTGCATCCATCTGTCCTTGATCAAAGTAATCAGAGTAAGTTGTGCTAATGATCCTTAATGCCATGACTGTTTATCAGCATATGAATTACATTTTCAAGTAAGTTTTTTGAAAATCATTGCATAGGTTTCAGCTCTATGTTTAGGTATCACTGTGTCTACTGTCTAAGTTGGTTTCAACCACCAAAATAACTTGTTTTGCTTTTCTAATGACCAGAGCCTGAGAGAAGTTACGTCATGAGTCATGACTTCATCATTTTTGTTGCTGCAACTAAAGCGTGAATATCCCTGACAATAACGACAATGGCTGACTACGTTGTGCTCATGTTGCTATTGCCTGGTTATTGTTTGTAGCTCAAAGCTACCGCTTCTGCAACAACTTTCTACTCCCAACATACAGTAAACGGCAGAATGTTTGTGATCCATTTTTAGAGTGCAGAGCAGATACCGCTGCTTTTGAAACCCAAAAACCTGGTTCGCAATTGGGCACTGTTCCCTAACCAGCCCTGGGACCACCTTGGTACAAAAGAGGTATTAGAGGCTGCATGTCTGTTAGACTCCTCTCATCACACACAAAGGCTTCCGTCCTGGTCAAGTGAACCACAGCACTGCTCAGAACTGGAGGGAAATAAAACCGGAAGCTTGTACAAGTCAATGGTGAGCAATTGGGCTACTGTAATTGCTGTAAATCAGAAAAGATGACTAGCTTAGAGCAGAAAAAACTTAGCCTGTAATAGCAGATCAAATATTAACTATGACACTAATGCTACTCTTTTGTTAACCACGTTTTGGCTGGACCTTCTGCTTGAGCAAAAGGATATGGATGACAATGTTGGGAAAACGCTTTGAGAAGGAGCTTCATCAAGATGGAACAAGATGGACTCGGTGGGGCTCTTGTTCTCTCGTCCTTCTCGGACTGCATGAGCAGCTGCATTGTTGGAGCAGTTATTCTCAAAACGATTCACTTCGTATTCCTTCCTGGAACAGCAGGGATTCACAGTCACACACTGTGTTCCCACATTAATCAGCAAAACTCAACATGAGGAAAATCCCTTTGTCCAGTTTCAAGACTAGGTTGTGTCTGCCATTAGTCTACTGAAGTGCAGCATTAAGAATACCTCACATGTTCTTCCCATTCACAGCAGAAAAGCCTCACAGAGGGAACTCAGATTTGTGCCTGAAAGTATTCCTTGTTCCAGAGGAGGGGTTTTCCTGCATGAATACTTTTTAAAGTGACATAACAAGAGAGACAAACAGGGTTCTCTCTCATTGTGTTTAAATGCTTTTTAGTCATTCGATTACAACCCGTGTAAGGCAATACGGAGATTCTTGTGACTGACGAACAAACATTGTGACATAATGATCTTACTTGCATTAACGGGGTAATTGGAGAAGCCACAACTCAATTTTCAGAGATGCATTACTCTTCCCATTTTCAAATGACTCAACATGTATGCTCCATTTAGTCTTTCAACTGTAACTGTGCAGATTTTGCACACATGCTACAAAGTCACAGAGTGAACCACATGCAAAGCAGTGTCTTTAAAGAAAGAGCCTAAGGCGTGATAAAATAAGAACTTTGTGTTAACGTCATGTAAAAGGAATGAACCCAACGTTACTTTTACATTCCAATATCTCTGTAGGTGTTCACAGCTCCTTATGGCGATCAAACAACTCCTGGTGAGTAGGGATTTGCACTATTAACATGCTCTCTGCACGACCTAATGTATTATGGAAGGAATATTAAAAGTTAAATTGTGCTTTTTTTCTTTTGCTTGAGTGGCTCTAAAGGAAACCACGTCCTATTTCCTGTAGAAGTCAGATCCCTCTGTCATTCACTAGGCAGCAGGAGGCTAACAACTAATAAATCACTGCTACTAATGGCGCATTTCCACTGCAGGGCCTCGCACGGCTTAGTACGGTATAGTTAGACCTTGGTAGGCCAGGCTCACTTTATGCTGCTTTCCATACAGTTTAGGAACTGGGGTAGTAACTATAGTAACGCAGTGTAGGCGGAGCCGTGACGTCATCTTCAATGCGAAACACAAAACCAACATCAGCCGTTAGCTGTTAGCACTCAGAGCTCACAGCTCCTCATATCTGTTCAGAAACTAGACAAAAGTTAAACAAGTACAAACCACAGACTGTCTGTGTCATGGCGAATACAGTCGCTGGTTTATTTATGTCTGTATAGGCCGTTGTTGTGAGTGTGGACGGTCGGAGCATATACTGCGTTAGCTTAGCCGATCTCCATTTAGAAAACACGCATTTTAAAAGGTTTTTCGCCTGCCGTCTTGTCTGCAGACTTGTCAAAGCATTAATTCATGGTTTTTACTAACCGGTATCAGTATGTTGTTACTTCGGCATCATTTTGAAACGTGTATTACAATTAAATCACGGTAAAATATGTTCATTTTGTTGTAGTTGCCAGCGATTCTCTCACTAGTTTAGCATACTCAGCCCGGTTGTTGGCCCGGAAAGAACCTCGATTTTGGAGAGCCAGAAAAACTGTGAAAAAGTACCCGCTAGCCGGAACTACGCCTAGTGGAAACGCAACCAAAAACGGGCCGGGCACGCTTAAACCGCGCTGTAGTGGAAATGCGCCATAAGTGAGCTTTTCCTTTCACTGCTTGCAAACAGCAACCAGGCTAATTTATAACCAGAGGAAGCATGAGGGAGAGGCTAAAATAGGCGAAGAGGTCAGGCAGGTTATCTTGCAACATGTATTCATTTGCATAAAGGAAAACCAAAAACTAAGATGATGTTTAGACATACACTGGATGACCATTATTATTGAAATCCTAAAATACATCCTAGAATTAAATAATCCAGTCATTTTATTTAGGCAGTTATACTGCACCTAACATGTATACGTTAGTAAGGCTCTCACATTGTTCATTATATTTTAGAAAAATGTAACTGATGAATGTCCCTCAAAATGAAATATACAGTATATAAGCAATACACACAACAAAACATGTAATTCTCTAAAAACACGATAACTTGGCAGAAAGCTTTGGGATAGCAGTGAACACAGAAATGTTCCTGATTTCATTTGGAATCTTTATAACTGTTCAAATGTTGTGAGAGAAACTATTTGAAACTTTTTATCAACAAACAGTAATCCAAAAATACTATTTTCCATTACTGTGCAGGCAATGTATGCTTTTATAGTTTATCATGTTATATATCTGTGGCAGGAGCCGCCTCCACCAAGACTGCAGCTCTTTGACAGTGACTTCACTAGTTCTCATTAGGAAGGTATGCAGTGCTGCTTCATTAGCTTGTGACCCACATGCCCAAATTAAAGAACTAGATTCAGCTGCAGACAGAGTTTGAGTGTATTTAAGGATAGACTGACATCCAGAAGCTTCCTGTGCATACTAGTGAAATTAATTATGGTACACAGAGAACAGACTAACAATGAATTCAAAAAGCCAAAACTAACCAACTATTTTTGCGTCTATTGCTGCCTTTAACAGAAGAAAAAAAGTCCATTGAGGCCAGTGAGGACACTTCATTCCCATGTCACTACTATGTCTAATGAACAGAGGGACTGAGGGAGGCACAGAAAGGGCCGGTCAGAGGGACGGGATCTGATTTGAAGCGTCCTGGGAGTTAGGTCAAAACCTTAAACCGCTAAAGAACCACAGAGGGGAGACACATAAATCAAAACTCTCAAGTTCAAAGCTTCCTAAAAGAAGAACAAATACTATGAGGAGAGAAGACTATTCATTCTTTCTTAGAATTAAGCCTGCAAGTGTATTTCAATTTATACATTTTATATTAAAGATTTTTGTGAGGTGGAGGATAAGACTGGTTGGTTGTTTGAACAGTTGTATCTTAGGGAATGATTCTTTGTGCACAAACCTAGACTAGAGCCTAGTAAAAAAGGTATTCAATCCCATCTTTAAAATTGAATGAAATAAAAATGTATGGGGAACGTTAATTGCAATAATTCCTCATCAACATTACTGTAAAACAAACTTTAATGGTTGTATGCGAGTCCAGTGCTAAAGAGGTAAAGAGTACATTTATCATATAAGGCGAATCAGAAAAGCACTGTGACCTGTTTCTACGGAGATGAACCTACAGCTAATAATCTGCAACAAGTAACTTTTTAAAGCCGCTATCCTCTACATTCATGAAGCAGTGAATCGTGTCCTGAGGAAATATGGAACAGTCTACCGGAGACTTTGTGAACTTGGAATCTTGAGAAGAAGAATACGTGAGCAATGCATTTCTCATCTTTGAAAGTCATTGTTCACCTCTACGTGTGCCATTTCTCGAAATAAATTAGGTTAAAATAAAATTTGACATTCAAAGTTCTTAACAGCTTTGTCAGATGGTATGGGTGAGTCAATGTTTTTAATGTCTCAGAAACTGCACCCAAACAAAACTTTAAAATCACAACCATGTGAAAAAGTGAGACCGCCAAGCAAGTGATCAATTTCATGTCCTAAATAAATGATCTTTACAACAAAGCTCCAACAAGCCGGCTGAAACAAGAAGTAGTTCCAAGGCACATTTTCCGCAGTGACAATGTCATACTAGTAAAGTTTCGGAGCCTTTGTGCTGCCTGGGCCAAGTGCCATTCTCTTTGACCCTTCCAAATTCCCCTCCCCCACTCCATCTCGCTCTACCTTGACCCACAAAACTTTGAGCAAAATCAAATGCATAGAGCCCCTTTTGTCACAGCTTGCAAATATTTTATAGCTATGAACCATATGAAGTGAAGGAAAATGTTTTCCCCTTGAGGAACTGCCAATTAAACAATAAAACTCAAAAAAGGTAACTGCATGAATCAAAAGCAATGAGGAATCAATGGAGCGGGAACCCAGGCATACGGAGATTCTTGGTAGAGGAGAGAACTTCCAGAAAGTGTTGAGTGAGAGAAAGAGAGAAGCACTTACCACGTCGAGCCCGTTATCCGAGACCGAGAATGACAGATTCCTCTCTTCTATCTCTGATCCACTTCCATTTTTCTGAGCTCCCATATGGCACCCCCCACCCCGAGAGGCAGAAAGAGTGCAACAGAGGGAGAGTCAAAGAGGGGGGGTGCATTAGTCCAAGTGTAGAGATGGAGGGGACTGTTGCAGCTGTGCACCCCCGTCAGTATCTCCTCAAATCCAATCCTCTCCTCTACGAGTGTTCTGCAGCACCGCGGAAAAAAGGCAACGGAAACAAAGTGATCCTCTTACACACAGCCCAGAGAGGAAGGGAGAGGGACGGGGGGAGAGGAGCGTAGAGAAGGAACGACACAAAGTGAGCTGGTGAGGAAGGCCGAGGCGTCTGGAGAGCAGGTTCAAGTTTTGAGCGTTCCCCTTTCTGTCGTAGGAGTGGGAGGGAACAAGAGGGACCTTGTAGAAAGCTGAGGAAACAGTGCATAATACCTTCCAGTTTCTTTCTCCCCCCTCTTCTCTCTCTCTGTGTTTTCTCTCGCTCTCGCTCTCTGGTAATATGCCTGGCTGCAGCCCCCCCCACCCCTCCTCCGGGCGCTGGAATGCAAGGCAAGAGTTTCAAGGGGCCCAGTTAGACAACCCTCAGAGTCACTGCACCTTGACCCCCGGGTCAGACGCAGAGTGTGTGTGTGTGTGTGTGTGTGTGTGTGTGTGTGTGTGTGTGTGTGTGTGTGTGGGAAGGAGGGGTGGGTTACTTTTGTATCTGTATATACTTACATTTGTGGGGCCAGCTTTGCCTCACGAGATCACATGACCGTACCTTGACAGTGATTTTACTGTGGAACATTTACTCTGCTGTAACAAGTCACAATCAATGTAACACTGATTGGTGTTACACACACACCGTCGCTGCCTGCGCTCCATAAGAGGAATTTAAATAGAGCTGTTTTATATGTGGAGAGGATAGTACCAAACCCGATATTTCACTTTTTTTATTTGGTTTTTTTAATACATTTTATTGTAGTTGAAAGTAATTGAAAAATTGTTTGGACGACATACCTATGTATAGGCCATCATAGCGGAGATACAGAGTCAGGTTGCAGTGTTTTTTGGCCAAACACATAAGGATTTAAAAAAAATCTTTATTTTGTTTTAATGTAATACATTTTTCTTTTCTCATTCCATGTTGTGTTGTGCCACATAATAGCATGGCAATCATTTGACAAGAGATTGGCTTTGCAATGTACTTTTAAGGTACCTTAACTTCAGATAACTCTTAGATTTAGTATCTTCCCAAGAGAATAATTGTATTTATTTATCTGTGGACAATTTTCAAACTTAACCCAAGTCAAACACTATAGTTAAAATGTATGATCAATATTTAATGGCTTTAGTCCATTTTGGATGTTGGTCAACAAGCTTGCGACATATTGACAATAGCAAAACAAATGCAACTGAATGTTATTATTCTCTGTAGATAATTTGCTTTCCTACAAAATCACAGTGAAACATAATACTGATATAAAGCAGGGTTGCCAACTTTGGGTACCTGGCTGGAGTGAGATTTTGATATCATGGGTTTAATTACACATATATGCACTAAATGACTGCTATCGTGTCAGTAGCGAGACCTTAGCATATATATATATATGATATATATACAATATATACAAATACACAATATTGGACACAGACTATAAAGGGCACAATGTTTCATTCACTAATGAAAGTCAAACACATGTTTGTTTCCACTGTTTTATTGTGTGCATAGGCCTGTCGCGATAAGCAATTAATTGACTTATCGTACGATAAATAAAAATGAACTCCATAACTTTTCTGACCTCGATAAATTGCAGTTTGAAAGGATGTACTTGAATTATTATTATATATTATCATTATGTCAGTGGTCTAAAATGGTCATACAACGGTGCCGACAATATTATCGTTTATCGCAATAATTTCCGGGAAAATGTATCCAACAAAATTAATTATCGTGAGAGGCCTATACATGAAACACACACACACAAACAAATCTACAGACTTACTCCAAACTGCCAAATATATGAATTAACGCACTCTCACTCTCATATACTCTTTGACTCTATTTTGGCCTAGTAGAACAATAAGCAGCAGACTTTTACTTTTTATCATTTCTACTGGATCTTAGATCTGCGCATGCGCAATACGGGTCGGGGATTTTCAACTGCATAATTACTCTGTAGCTATGTCAGATTGACAATAAAGAACCTTGGATTGACCAACCGGCTCCCACTGCTCTGCTGTCTGTTAACGTGGGGGCGGGGAGGGAGCGGATCGACAGCTTGAGCAGCTGTCAACTCAACATTGTAAATAACCAACCAAAAACGATCGCTGGTTCATCTTGTTTTTGGCGTGAGAATAGTTTGGGCAGCGTGAGAGCGTGAGATTGAGAGTGAAAGTGTGTGTCACACGCCAGATGCGTGAGAGTTGGCAACCCTGTATAAAGGGAAGGAAGAACTCGGAAGACCAAATCACCTCATACTCATGTCTTGTGACAGAGTTGACAACACATTCAAAGATTGCATCTTTGACGCTTAGAAAAAAAATTCTAATAGGCTCCGTTTTAGCCGTTCAGTAGCAGTAAAGCTTACACCACTGGACTTGGTTTTGTTTGGGCGATCTGTTTTAACACGTTTTTGAATCCCTCCAATCAAGCAGGTTTGCATCGTTTGAATCAGAGAAGCTGGAACTGTCTGCAAGTCAGAGCCAAGTATTGTGACCTATTCTTCAAATTCATTCAAGTGTCCCAACTAATGCGGGTCCCTTTCTCTCTGTCTGTCTCTCACATTCAACTTGCTGTATTGGCTTGAGCATAACGACATCCCGTATAGCCAAAGTATTGTATGAATGGTGACAATTACAACATCTACACATTTGGAATATACCGTTAATATACCGTTGAGTGTATATACATTTGAAATATTGTTAAAAACTTCAATAAAATAATTAACATGTTTCTTTACAAGAATTCAAGGTGCTTTTGAAAAATGAACAAAAGATTCAACAAAAAAACCTTTTTATTTGCTTAGTCAGTAAATATAAGTGTGAAAGACTGCTTGTAAAGTTTAAATGTAGGGTACCTTGTGAATGCTCTATCTTTCACACTTTTGGCACCAATCCCCAAGGAAGTAAACCGTGCGTAGAATAACAATATTGTAGTGGACAAACGGTGGGATTAAGAATTTTGTTTTTGTCATGTGTCATTTACAACATTTTACAAGCTACAATGCGGTATTTATCATCTAAATTTGGCGATAATATTTAATAATTCCGAAAGCCAAGACTTTGTTTTTAATTGAAATCAGAGCGAAACCTTTATACATGTACCATTTGGCTGTCATTTAATAGGAAGACGTAGGGAGTGGGAGCGGCGATTGCTTAACCTGTTAAGCCCCGAGCCTGTTTTCCAGGTCTCAGGCTCGAAAATGACATTCCCAGAACAAATGACCATAACTACACTTCTAAAAGGGGAAAATGAATAATCTTTTTACTCAAAGCAATGATAAACCTGTGAGTTGGATGTAGAAGAGTCAGAATCAATATAGATTTATTTTATTTTAAAGTAAATTCAGATTGAACATAGTAAAAAAATGTAAATTATTGTGTCCGTCCAAAAAAAACACATTACTTATAGTGAAAACCACCCTTGAATGATGGGATAGTAGACTAAAAGCTTTAGGAATCCAAACTATAACATATAATAAGTAATAAGATTGATGCAAAACAAGTGAAATTTGACCTTTTTAGAGAGATTTAGCACAAAAAAAACACTTCTGGGGTCATTTGGGTGGATTTGACCTCTCTGGCCCCTCTTGGTCGATGTTGATGATTGACATCTCTTTTTAACCACACTGTAAAACCTGACAAGTTAATAGAACTCAAAAGATTTTTTGAAACGGATTACATCGAAGTTTTTGAGTAATACTTATACCTTAACTGAAATGTTTTAAGTTAAAGTATAATCTTATCAATTGAGTTCTATTTAGTAGTAATTTTCAAGGGACACAAACATATTGTTTTTTAAGTTAAAGAAACATTATATATTAAGTTTCTTTTAACTAAGAATTTGTGTTAACACTGTACATATAAAGATCAAGTATTGTTGACTTAAAAATGTTCATATCTTTTCAACTAGCTATTTTGTTAGCACAGTACATATGAAAATCAAATATATTTAAAGTGGACCTATCATGCTATATTTGAATAATATAGTGTAGGACCATACCTATATAAGGAATATTTATACTTTTTTTTTTGCAAAATACCAAACAGATCATGCATTTTAGCCATGCCTCATTTTGCTCAATTTGACATTTTTTAGCTCTGTGTTTGTAAGGGCAGAACAGCACCATCTACAGGCCTGGCATATGTACTACAGCGTCTCCAGTGCTTTCGAACGGCAATGGCCGTGGCTATCTCCTCCTGATTGGTGGAGTTGGCCCAATAGCCGTAGTGCCACCGTCCTGACGTCAGGACAGTGTTCAAATCTGGATCCGTTTTTATCAGATCCGTTGCAGCCCCTTTTTTAGAGATTTGGGTATGGAGGAAAATAGAGAGGCTTGTGTTTTCTGACACTTTGTGAGTTCCCTGGAACACCGGGGACACATATTCATGTAAAAAGACGTACAAAAGTGCATTTTGCATGATAGGTCCCCTAGAATATATTTATTATCTCTAAATAAAAAAACATTTCGCTGTATAAAACGCGATATGAATTAAAAACGTCAATTGATTAGTACTCAAAACTGACTGAATGTAGAGTACTTAAAACTTTTTTTGAAACCGATTACATAAATATTTTCAGATAACTAACTCAAAATCCCTAAGTTAACATTTTGAGTAAACATTAAAAAGCACTTTAACACTGACAATTTAAATCACTGTTTAAGTGACAATATACAAAACATTATATATATATAATTATATATATATATATATATAGACCAATAACAGCTACTTCAACAAGGATTTTCCACATGAAGGACCTTATTTTTTTTTTTTTTTGCATTTTTCTTTTTGCATTTTATTATATATATAATGATTTGCTCTAATGTGTGTATATATATACACACATTATAGCAAATAACTCTTTTAAATAAAAAAAATACCTTAAAAACAGTGCTAAGGCCTTGAGAAATATCTGTGTGTGTATTTTATCCATCACTTATGAGTGAACACAATTTTCAGGAACAGTTCTGCGTATTAATTTAACACATGGACCATAAAGACCCAATACATATAAAAGTATAAAACAACATCTACAAACAGTCCCTCAACTTGAAGCTGAACAGTAACAAATCTGTAACAAATCTGTCAATGCAATACAGAACACAGATGTAAAGCAGCAGGATGTAAACAGAGGAGAACAGTGTGTGTGTGTGATTGTTAAAGTGCAACTTTGTTGGTAGGATTACACTGCCAAAAGCTCATTTTTC